ATCCTTCAATTTCAAAACTGTCTCATCTGTCTGAGTAATTTGCACATCCCCTTTTCCAACTATATTGTATGTTTTATCATCGCCCAAATACACTTTGCCAAAGTTTCCCTGCACATAATTTTATAGCACATCCATGTGTGGAGTAGCATGGAATGAAGCTCCAGAATCTACAATCCAAGATTCACTGCGAGAATCCAGTGAACAAATCAAAACATCATTATCAGACTCGTCAGCAACATTAGTTGTATTTTTACCTTTTTGATTATTCTCATTCTGCTCCTTTCTCGGTGCCTTGCAGTCCCGCTTCCAGTGCCCTTTCTGACCACAGTTCCAACAACTCTCATCTCTATCACGAGATTTACTTCGGCATCTGTTTCTCGAATACGATTTTTCCTTGCCCTTTTTATCGACCTCTCTCCTCCGTATTGAGTGCTGAACCTGAAATAACATCCTCACCCGATGCTCTTCTCCGAGCCTATTCTCCTAGTATCAATGCCACAACATCCTTCAATTTTATCTTTGCAGACCCGGAAGAATTGCTTACTGCCACGACAAGTTCATTCCAACTTTTCGGCAGACTTGATAAAAGGACAAGAGCTCTAATTTCATCATAAAAAATAATACTCACAGATTCTAACTAATTCTATCTGCCCAAGCCTTCGCTCCATGGACTAAGCCTCAGAAAATTTTCCATTAAAAAATCACACAACATTACTTCAGATCGAGTCATCATCCGGATCACATATACAAACTAGACTCCACAAAAAACCAACAATCTTGTCTGCATAATGAAATTCCAGTGTGGCTGCTCTAGAATTTGTCCTGTCTTAACTAGATAAAGACTAATCATGTTTGGACTTATTATAGGATTCTACATTCCAGAGCTCTCTGATATTATTATCAAGAAGAACATGGAAGGAGATTCTGCCACAAAGATTCAACTTAAGGGGATTATGGTAAATCAAATTTCATTTTGTTATAACATAATAAATCTACGATGGTTAAAAATATGTTCCAGTATTGTAACACATTCTGTATAAACAAAGAGTCTCACGTGACATGACATGAATCTCTCGTTGTATTCAACTTTTTTCTATTTGACACTTTGTGTAGTGTCGTCGATAATGTTTCACATGATGTTTTAGTCCCTGTTGCGACCTTGGACCCTCCCACAAGGTCTCTGTTCTTCTCTGAGTTAGAAAAGATAACTGTATTTTGATTCCTTTATCTAACCAATTTTGTAGATAGGAAATGGGATAATGAACGATGATACGGATCTAAAAGGATCGAACGATTATCTCTGGAGCCATGCATTGATTTCGGATGAAACTTATCAAGGACTCGTAGAGCACTGCAAGAACTACAGCAGCCCCAAATGCGACGATTATCAAGATAGAGTTGAAAAAGAATGTGGAAAAATAGATTTCTCAAATATTTATGGCCCGTTATGTTCATCAAATTCATCGACGAAGACAAAAAGCCTCGGAGGGTATGATCCCTGTGAAGATGATTATGTTCACAAGTATCTCAATAGTCCTCAAGTACAGGAAGCCTTACATGCCAACCAAACTAAACTGCCTTATACTTGGGAAAATTGTAGGCAAGTGGAATTTATTTCAACAAAGATTGACATTTGATCATGATTGTAATTTGTGTTAGATGATAACTCTTAGTTTTACTTTGAAGTTGAATCAAAAAGCTTTGTTTCTTGAAATTGCTACTGATATTACTTGCTCTCTCTCTCTCTCCCAGCCCCTTTATCAATGCTTGGAAGGACAGCCCAACAACCATGATCCCAATATATAGAAGGCTCATCGCCTCGGGTCTAAGGATACTTCTTTACAGGTAAAAATGAATTCTTGTAACACAAAAAGCTGAAATTCATCCACAGTAACATGACATTTTTCGGAACTAATGAAGCTTATAATTCAAGAAATAACCGAAACAATAAGATTCTGACTAAAAAAAAAGTTGATCACAACACAGAGCCTCTCCTATTGCAACTTTTTTTGGGTGAATAAATATTTTAGCCAATTGCATCATTCTTCTTCATATGGTTCCTACTTGTGTGACAATTAATGTCTTGGACAGTGGCGATGTGGATGCAGTTGTTCCAGTTTCTGGCACTCGATATTCCATCGATGCCTTAAACCTTAAAGTGATCAAACACTGGAGTTCTTGGGTAGACGATAGCAACGAAGTATGTCGTTTTTTTCTCTAGTTTCTTCACAGACTTCATCCGATTTGTTGCCCTGGTCGAATAAGTTCATTTTGTTCGAATTCTTGTTACTTGGAGCATCAACTGATGTTAATTTTGATGCTGCAGGTGGCTGGATATCAAGTGGTTTATGATGGATTAGCTTTCGCAACAATTCGGGATGCTGGCCATGAAGTTCCAAAATGCCAACCATGTAGAGCTTTGGCTCTGTTGAAGATGTTTATAGCAAACCTTTATTGAAATTGTAGTTGGAATTTGAGTGCCATTTTTTTTTGGTCACATACCACTATTCTTCTGGTGATGGTAAGTTGATGAATTTGTAAGCTGTCAAGTGAATTTTTTTAATGTTTAAGTTTGGATAAGGTTGAATTGTTTGAAATGAATTTCTAGATTTCTGGATTTATCGACATCAAACTCATGAAAAGAACCAAATTCTCTTTGACAATTATGTATGATCATTAAACAAATTAAATTATGAAAAGCATTTTGCTTCTTTTATACTCTTTTTCTATTCAAATATGAAGTTTGAGTGGTGTTGTCTCTCAACTATCATATTTCTCTCATTACACCTTCAACTATGATTATTAATTTTACATTGCTCCAATAATTAACATTTAGGAGGAATTTGATGGAAAATTATTCCTTTTGCCCCCAAATTATGTGATTTTGTTTCACATTTTTCCGATACGTTGATGTTTTTTGTCCAAAAGTTTAAAGAAGTATATATATTAGATAATGTGAAACCAATTCATGTAGTTGATGGAGTAGTGTGAGAAATTAAATAGTTGGATTTTTAGGAACAAAGTGCAATAAACCCTTGCACCTTTATGTGGGCCCAATACTACCCAATGCATGCAATAGCTTGATGGACTTCCTATTTCTTTGAATTGGAATTTAATTTATGACCTTGACCGGACCCCACTCAAACCTCTATGATTGATTTCCAAGTCTTCCCAAAGATTCTCCCAATCTTTCCCCAGTATTAACAACCCATTGATATTTGATCCCCACTAATTGTGCATTTAAAAGATTACATTCAAATTTAACAAGGGAATTTTTCAGTAAGTGCAGATAAAGACCATCTTGCAATACATGGAGATTTTCTTGCAATCCATGAACATTAAAGACAAACCCTTGATGCGTTTTGTTGCATTGCTCATAAATACCAAGTGAAAATGAACTCACAAGATTTCGTCACACCTAGTTAACAAAAGAATTTTCTTAAAAAGGATAAGCTTAGACCACACCCACATCCGACCGGCCAAATTGGGGTAGGCGGGGATGCGCATGTGGTCAAACCCAAGTTCATCTGGGTCCTTTCTCTTCCACAAAAGTGAGGCGCCCTTTGTGGCTCAATTCTTAGTGCAAACTAAAGGTATATATGCTCACAAAAACTTTCTTGCCCAACCAATATGAGATTGATGTTATATTCTACATTGTTCAATCTCTATTTTTACATTTCAAGAGGGTCATTTTGGAGTTTATTTTGTTATTCACCTCTTACTCGATTTGTGTAAGTGAATATACTACGTTATTCTCCTATGGAGTAGAACATAAACCAACGAAAAGTTATTCAAAACAATGAGTGGGTCCTAAAATCTTAAAGTGGTCACTTTGGGGTGGATGATACCAAAGAATTATGAAGACCCATGATCTTGTAAATGGGCGTGGTTTTTGTCTAATTAATTATAAGGTGGGATTTTGTCTCCTTTGAAGGTTGTCTCTCTCCTTTGTATCGATTGCTTATGTACTTAACTCTTGTTTTGTTCTCCCTTTTTTGTTTGATATATTGATGGTTTTCTTATGATGAAATGAAACAAAAGGAGAAACTAGCAGAGAAAGAACCACATTCATCTCAATGATCATGCACTAGATTTGACCCAACCCAATTTAACTAAGTCTTGTTTAAATTATTTAAAGTTGACTTCATGAATCTTATTCTACTATTTGTTCCACGAGGGTCACATTTTTTTGTTTAACCTCAGTTAATTCTATATACATAATTTTTTTTTTTGGCCTTTAATGATCATGCACTGCCGGTTGGAAATGACCCAACCATTTTTATTCCGAAAAAGTGTCGAAGAAATGCAAAATTTTATCACATAATATATTTACAAGGTTATTTTCACAATTTGTGTTATGTTTATCCTCCTAAAACTCCACAATGGCGGGAATATTGTACACTAGGTATGCCATTTTGTTATGTTTACTCGTTAGAATGGTGACAACTTTTTTAAGTCAGCCATAATAGGGTTTCTCAATGGTAAAAAGTCTTGCCCCAATGTCAAGATTGATTCTCGGACTTAAACCTGTGGTATATCACTCAGAGCATTTACCATCTTTCTAAATCCAACCTCTTTTTTTGCAAACCAAGAAAAAAAAATGAACAGGTATAAAAAAATTTCTGATTTTTTTGCTTACCATTGTCCTGCTCTCCAACACCTCTCTTGTCATCCTCCCCAAACCTATTGTTTGGGTTGGCTGTAATGTTTGAAGAAACCAAAGTAAGTCACCACAAAAACATTGCAAAAAACAAACATCATTGAGAACATCATTAAGCTGTAAAACAAACCAAAAAAAGCGTTAAACATGTAAATGCCTAGGATCACCATTGTACAATGTTGTCCACTTTGGACTAGACCCGGACGGTTTTAAAACGTATTATCCGACTCATGCTATGCAGATCCAAGCCTAATCCAAAATAGACAATACTTTGCTACCAGGATTATATAAAGAGATGATAATTGCATCCATCAAACAGCACTCCTGTTGGAAATCAAAGATGCAGCTTCTACTCCCTTTACTACTCTTCCTTGTGTCCTATGTACAATGTTATGGAGGCATAGGTTTTGATCCTCTTGGAAAGATTTTAGAGGCTCAAAGGGCAAAGAGGTCAGCCAATTTTGTTCCTGAAGCTTCAAAATCTGATTATTCACCGGTCTATATCGGCCCTCAAGATGGGTTGAAGGAAGCCAACAGGATCACGGCCTTGCCAGGGCAGCCAAATGGAGTGAACTTTGATCAGTATTCGGGATATGTGACTGTTGATCCTAAGGCCGGTAGAGCACTCTTCTACTATTTTGCTGAGTCCCAAAACTCTTCTAGCAAGCCTCTTGTGCTGTGGCTAAATGGAGGTAAAGTCTTGTCAGATTTTCCTCTTATTATGAACAAGATTCGTCTCAATCACGTGCTCTACTTAAGATCGATTTGCATGCAACCGTGTTTCACATAAATGGATTGGCAGGACCTGGATGCTCTTCATTTGGAAATGGTGCAATGAGGGAGCTTGGACCATTTCGGGTCAATATTGATGCAAGAACTCTATCCGAAAACAAATATGCATGGAATAACGGTAATTACTAAGTACTTATCCAATATTTAGAAGTATCCATCACTAGTTTTAAAAAGATCAACTTTTCAGCAATGTTGAAATTTGTGATGTTAATACAGTGGCCAATGTCATCTTCTTGGAATCTCCTGCTGGGGTTGGATTTTCTTACTCGAACACGACGTCAGATTATGTAACTGGAGATCGACAGACTGCAGCAGATTCGTTTACTTTTATACTTAATTGGTTGGAAAGATTTCCAGAATACAAAACGCGAGATTTCTTCATAGCTGGGGAGAGCTATGCTGGGCATTACGTGCCTCAGCTTGCTCAGCTAATTCTGCAAAATAACAAAATTACCAACCAAACTGTCATCAACTTGAAAGGAATCGCCGTAAGTCTATAATAAAAAATTAAAAAAAAAAAACATGGTTTTGTTGTCCTTTTTTTCCATAATTTATCATCCATGCTGACATGAAGATGTTACGATTTTTAGATAGGTAATGCATTTATAGACTATGAAACACAAGAAGAAGGAACATTCGATTATTTTTGGTCACATGCTCTCAATTCCGATGAAATTCACGAGGGAATTACATTGAATTGCAATTTTTCTTCGGAAGCAAATCCATCAGATGCATGTCAGGCCTATTATGATCAAGCGTTTGCAGCCATCGGCGAAATCTTCATTTATGAAATTTATTCTCCCCCGGTATAATTTTTAATTGTTTTTCTTTTCCCTTCATAGAAATGATCTTCATTTTCCTCAGTTCCATTCTTTGATTGAAACAGACTCCAGTATTAGTTCCATGCTCAGAAGATTACGTTTGCTCTTACTTGAACATTCCTGAAGTTCAAAAATCACTTCATGCAAATGTCACGGGTCTTCCAGGTCCATGGGAGTCTTGCAAGTATTATCCTTTCCCTTCTCAACAATCAATTAATATATATATATACACAGAGACAGAGAGACTCGTTTAGCACACTAATTCATACTATCCTTTCTAACTCATTTTCATCTGGATGGCATCTCGTTTCAGCTTCGACATAAATGGTAATTGGCAGGACTCGCCAGATACGGTGTTGCCTACCATTAAGGAGCTGATGGCCAGTACCATAAGTGTTTGGATTTACAGGTTAAGTCAAACGACTACACTTAAATTGATCCTACAATATTCGACTCAACTCAACCAGACTTGTCCCGACTATTTGGGTTACATTTTTAAGTTTATTCATTAGAATGATCCAATTTCTATGGATTTTATTTGCACTTGCAGTGGAGATACAGATGGTATGGTGTCAGTGACAACAACTAGGTACGCCATAGACAAGCTCGGAACAACAGTAAAGACTCCATGGTACCCATGGTACACCAAAGGCGAGGTAAGAAAGACTTCAACATTATAACTTGTTAATCTGAGAAATTGTCATTAAATCTATCTAGATTTATTTATAACAGATTTAGGTCAAGACCAAATTGATACGTCAAACTATAAAAGAGTAAGATCATTTTAATACTTTTTCCTTTCATTTCTTTCTTTTGTTGCATGATGAGTGACTTATCAAAGAAAATAATAGAAGAAAAAAGTATTAAAGAAGATATGGATCCCGATTATACATAGATAGATGACATAGATGAATTAAACAAATTGTAACACAACATGACTTAAACACATCACAAACTTGGCACAACCACGACCCATTTCAGCCCTATAGATACTTTTCCATATCTTAATATTCAAAAAACACCTTATCTTTAAAAATAAAAAAAAAAACCCGTTTTTCTGTTTCTTTTAAGGTTGGCGGGTATGCAATTGGATACCAGAACTTGACGTTCGTGACCATAAGAGGAGCAGGCCACTTTGTTCCATTTTATCAACCAGCTCGAGCATTGGAATTCTTGTCATCGTTCTTGCAAGGAAAGCTTCCACCTACAGATCAGAGCTAAAAAAGAAGAAAAGAAGGAACTGGGAACAATAATAAAAATTAAAAGGAGTTAGAATAGTGATGAAGTTGCAAATAAATTTTAACAGTCTCTCTGTATCATCATTTTATCGATTTTTTCAATAAACATGGTTTGTTCCTATGTGCTATAATATTTCGAAGAATAATAAGAAGAACACGAAATATTGTATTAACCGAAAACTTCTTAGAAATAAAATTGTTAAAAATAGTGAGTGATTCATATTCACTAGGCTAAAAAACCAATGGTCAGTGGGTGGAATGAAGGAGAGCGTAGCGAAGTAGAACAGGGTTATATTGAGAATTTCCAATGCATGGGTGATTTAAAGATATCAACGTTCATCAAACATTGAATGACTCAATTTGGGGACTAAATTTTTTATCAATTTTGGTGCATTTGTCAAATTTCACATGGCATGTGAAGCCAATGCGTGCAAGACCCTAGCTGGACTTTCTATTTCATTGAATTGGAAATTACTTCAAGAGTAAATTACACATGTCTCACAAATTATGACTCTTGTGTCAATTACATACATAATTTTTTTTTTTTGTTAATTGAGCCCCTAAATTTTCTAATTGTATCAATTGAACCCTTTTGTCTTTTTGTGTTATATAGTCATGTGAGTGACACACTTTAACAGAAGCAGACATAATTCATATCCAACTACTCGAATTAAAATCCAATCCATTTAGAGGCCTACTACCTATGAAGCATTGCTCTTGTTGTTAAACTAAACCATACTTAGTTTAATAGTTTGTTTAAAGTTAAGTAGTTGGTGTTATTGGCGACTAATTTATTAATTTTAAACGCCCACCTCCCAATAAGAAGAGTCAAATGAAATTTAATAATTACATGTGTAAAATGAAGTTCTAAGTGCATCAGCATCGACTCAGATAAATGCAGCAGATCAACTTTGGAGGGTTTAAAAACATTTTTCTCTTCCCATGCACAACAAGTCGCATACCCACGCACCCTGTATTCTGAATAGTTTCACAATGATAACGACAATATTAAAGAAATTTTAAAAGAAATGTATGAGTCTCTCGATATTATTAGATATTTAGAAAATAAAATTAATAATTGAATCGAGTTATTTGAGTTCGTTTATTTTGAACTTGGCTCGCTTTTTTAAAAGATTTTTTTGAAAGCCTGTAGACTTTCTATAATTTATTGTTGGAAAATCCCTAACACATCACATCTACTGTTGAAAAAATAAGATAAAAAAATCAATTAACTTTAGAGTTTCCTTATATTAGAACTATTTTTCTCTATAGATGATGAGATATTTTTAAACGAACCGATTTTAAATAATTTTTTAAGTTCGTTTAAAAAAACGAGCATAAAGACTCAATTTAAACTCGCAAAGCACGACTAGTTAATAATCAAGTTAGTTGGGTTTGACTCGAGTTCGACTTGGTTTTGACTTGAGTCATTTAGAAAATGAACTTGCTTTATTAGTCCTAACAGAAAATCAAATATGCACAACCTTATACTCTTGAATGTTTAACAAAGGTGAATCAATACACGATATTCTTATTATTGCATGATCGAAAGAGAGTCAAATATATATAACCTAATCTCCGCGTGAGACTGTTTTTCGCAAATAAAATCACAATAAAATAAACAGACAATTGGCACGATGTCAACAGGCAACATGGTGTGCTGGGAAGAAGACAATTGAACATTAGATGGAGCAGAAATTATAGACCTTAGGGTTATATCAAATTCCAGAAAAAAAAAAATCAAAGAAAAGAGGCAACTACAACTACATCATAAGCTGAATTTTGGTGTAGCCGAAAAAAAAAAGATATTCTGCCATAGCTACCTTGTTGGATTAATTAATAAAAGGATAATTAGAATTTGACCCCTTAAACTTTGAGATTTGTGTTTCGTAGTCCCCTGAACTATTATATTTCTCATATTGCCTCAATGATTAATATCTGTAAACTCGAATGGATAGTTCAAATGATAACAGAGATGGGATGAGCTGTAAACACAAATTCTTAAGTTGAAATCTTGACAATCTCTTAAGACCAAGTTAGGTCATGAAGAATTTATCTCTCGTGAATACCCTGGTCTAAGCGTGGATGACCTGCCTTTCACCGGATAATGGAAAAAATTAGTTAAGGTAAGAATAAATTGGGTCAGACACCCTTGACCGTTGAACCCAAAACAAGTTGTTAAAATTTGATAACAGGTTGTTGCACTATGCCACTTGAATTGTGTGCTTTTGTTTTACTTTATCCAGTCCAATAGAAAAAGGACATTTGCATTTTGGGCAATGTTTAATTAATTCAAGTAATTAGAGGACAATACGAGAAATTTAATAGTTCAAGGGCAAAGATGAACTAGTTTAGAGGGACAATATGTAATTCAGCCATTAATATAAGAATAAAGAAATTAATTTTTCAAGATTTCCATACCGCAGAGATTTCATATCTAGAACACACCAAGTTGGCCATCAAGTTTGATATTTTCTTTTATGTTCTAGATTTTGGAGGTAGCATTTACATGAACAATAGCCGGCCAATAGCTGCAAAATTTTGGAGACAATGGCTCTGAAAGCAATAGGATAGAATGCAAAATAGCAATACAATCCAATTAGGTTAGTAGAGTGAAATGAAATTCACAGCAGTACTAGTTGACCTGCTGTGACATTTAATTCTAAGAGTTAATCAGTCAATGGCTGGTGCCCTCCAATGGGCCGGTCTATTGATTGGTCAATGGATCGGATCGGAGCGGGTCAACAGGACAACCAAAGCCTATCCTTACAGATTTTAATCAGGTACTCTATTGGTTGTTTAAATTAAAACAATAATCCATGTGCTTTCCTAAAATAATTAAAGGATAAAGTATAATTTACACAATTAAAGTATATACCTAATTCTTATTTAGTTTTTAAAGTTTCGATTTCAACAATCAAATCCTTTTAAAGTTTTAATTAAGCTTTAATTTTGTCCTTACATTCAAAATCACTATTTTATTATGACATAATAAACTTCCGTGACAAACGCACGACTGGTATAAAGGGATATATTTATCTACTAAAAAATCTTTTATGTATAAGCTAGAAAACTTATTTTGTTTCGTTTGATTTAAGAAAAAAAAAAAGATAATAGAAAAAAATACATAGTAAGGATTTTAGAGATATTGTGAGACAAAGCGAGAAATACTAATATATTTGAGGGTGTATTTTTTGCTGGACAAATTACACCCTTACTGACAAGTCTCGTGACGTCCTTCTGTCCAAACAATTTAATATAAATCATAAATTATCCATAATTAAACTGGTACAGTTAATTTTTTTTTTTTTAATTTTAACAAGTAAATAAGTCGGCACACACAAACCAAACCAGTAAGCCTAAAAAGAGCATACGGTTAGGTCTATCAAAAGATCAGATTCGGATTAAATTTTAGTCAATCCAAATATAAATCTGTTTAAAAAAATTGTGTTCGAATTCAATTTGATAATCTGATGGATATCAAAATTATAATCCAAATTAGATCAAATCAAACTAAATTAAATTTCTATAAAATGAGGGGGGGGGGGGGGGATGAGCGGTGACAGAGAGGGGGAAAGGGGTGGGTCGAATTACTTTTGTGTTTTAATACATAGACATATCTATGTGTATCTATATACATATATAAATATATAATTTTAAATGGATCAGATTCTTATTAGATTAGATTAATATATATATTCAAATTTATATCCATTTAATAAAAGTTAAACAGATCAGATCGGGACATAATATTAAAATTTTAATTCATATCCGAATAAAGAAATTTGAATCGAATTCAAACTAAAATCCGACCTATTGATAGGCTTACCTATGGACAATTGGGTTGTCGGTGATGGTCAAAGTTTCAATTTTTTTTCTTGGGAAGAGAGAGAGGAAAACTTGAACTATTGATTTCAAGAAGGCAAAATCAATACAATAATTGAGTAGCCAACGTGAGACGGACGATATAATTGAATGGTGAAAATTTAATTTATCCAAAGTTTTGTCTCCGGAAAGCACAATTAAATCGGAAATCACATGTAGTGTGCATATACAGACAAAATAAAACCATAGGAGAATAATAATATTACTATTAATATTTTGGCCAATTGTCAGTTCTATATGATATATTACGCATGAAAGCTACTAATTACAACGCCATAACTTAAATATAATACAAATTCGACATGGCACATTTCTTTCATCCGTGAAATCTTTGTAAACGAATTGAAGTCGGCAATCGTGTGGAAGATGGTGGTTTAAACATGGAAGAAAACTAAAATAACACTAATTAATTAAACCTAAAACAAGGTGGCCATATCATATGAGCTCATCAAGACATCAAAGTTCAAAGATGACAAGCGAGGTGTGTATAAATCTCCATTGTTTTTACCAACCCCCACTTAGCTGTACATGGCTGACCACACTCTTATATTTCACTATCAAATCCACCTCCTCGTCACTATTGCCTAGTTTTCGATTGGTTTTTTTTTTGTAGAGTAATGTTATTGGAACTTAATTTACTAACCTAATTCAATATGATCTTTAGATTGACTGTGAAACTCATCAAACATTAGAATTTGATGTTGATCTAATAATTTTGTTGAAATCACATCATTATATCAGCAAATTAGATTAAATTTATATATTCAAATAATATTACTCTTTTTTGTAATGTATGAAAGGTTTGATGTATAGTCTGTCTTTTCAAGTTAAATGTCTGATTATTTAAGTTAACACGAATTGGTTAAAAAGATTGAGAAAGATGACTCAAATTAATGGATACAAAAGTAGTAAAACAAAGATAAAACACCAATACTAAAAATTCAAATAGCAAAAGCAAAGAAATAACAAAACATAGTACACTCGAATCTTTCATGCCATGTAATGCTAATCAAGTTAAAAAATTTTCAAGTTTTATTAAATTTAATTAGGTGACTAATCGAGCTCGAGTTTAAACCAAGCTCAAGTAATCAACAAAAATTTAACATTGGACTCAAGTTGAAACTAATCTCAATTCCTCAACAATCTTTTTGAAAAAAAATTAGAACATACAACTTCTTAATCAATTTCTCACCAAAAATCTTTACGTGACTCATAAAATTAAATGTTAAAAGTTCAAATTCTTAAAAATATATTAAAAAGGTTGGGAGGGAGTAAAAAAAAGGTTAATGCCTTTTTTCAGAAATAATTTTCATTTGAAGAGTGTTACACACACTGACCTGCCAACATGTGTAACCATTAATTAGGACTCGCATAGTCAATAAGATGTTGAATCTACACCTAAAGCTTGGATTTGGTTCATCCGATCAATAGAAATATGTCCTACTCACCAAACTATGATGACGTTCAGGAGATTAGTCATAAAAATTTATCAAGTTTCAAATTCAAGACGTCTAAATTTATAACTCTCCTCTACCTCCACCTGAGCTATAAGATTAAAATGAAATGGTATATATATGCCTAAAATAAATTCAAAATTATTTTCCTTTTGAAAAAAAATATTTATTAATAAAATTAAAATAGAATTGTTACTAGACATTAGACTACTTGAATCGAACCACACATTAGTTAACTTTGGTAAGGGCAATTTCGACTTTGCATGAAAGTTCGACAAGATAATAACAGAGTCTACACAGTAGAGACTAGCAAGTAGGTGTTAAAAGGCGGCTCGGCTCCTCTGTCAAGAATCCCCCCCCCCCCTCCCCTCTCTCTCTCTCTCTCCCTTCCTCCCTCTTTCCCCTCCCTTTTTCTCTCTGCATCTATTTATTTCCTCCGCAACCAATTTCTCAGACTGCAGAAAACTTCTCCTCCCTGTCAAAACACAAGCACCCAAAATGGAGATAGAGGTGATGATACCCTCACCGGCGGTGGACTTCAACTTCGACAGTGCATGCACATCTCCGTACATAAGCGCCCCTTCAAGCCCTCAACGCTTCGGCAACTCTTTCTTCAGCGCCCCAACCAGCCCCACCCGCGCCTCCTCCTTCTACCGCGAATTCAACAACTTCTGCAACTCCGACGCCGCCGCCACTGATAATTCTTTGTCGGAGATTCCGTTCAATTGGGAAGAAAAGCCCGGAATTCCCAAAACAGAAGGGACCAAAAATATCAACCACGATGACGATACAGAATTCGCATTTGATTTCAGTGGACATTTGGAGAGAACTTCCCTTTCCGCCGATGAACTCTTTGATGGCGGCAAGATCAAGCCTCTCAAACCACCGCCCCGCTTACAATACTCCGATAATGGAATGGTTGATTCTCCGAAGTCACCTCGATCGCACAAGAACATGTTCAGAGAAGCTTTGTCCCCGCGACACAGAAGGAAAGATTTTGATCCTTTCGCTGCGGCAATAGAACAAACACGTAGAGAGCATAGTCAAGAACACACAAATAAACAACGTGGAAGAGAAAGAACTCACAATTCATCAGGTACCGCCACTATTCGACACAAAGCAACAAGATCTTTATCACCATTTAGGGTTTCCGACATATTATTCGATCAAGAAACCAATCAACAGAGCCCAAAGAATTCTTCTTCATCATCAACATCTGGGTCGGCGGCATGGTACAGAAAATGGAATCTAAAGGACTTTTTGCTGTTCCGGAGTGCATCAGAGGGACGAGCCACTGACAAGAACTTGAAGAATTACGATTTGTTAAAGAAGAATCACCATGAGGATGTGAACTCAAGTTTTAGGTCTACAGGGAGTTCAGGCTCAGTGTCGAGCTCGAGAAGGAGAGTGCCGGTTTCGGCTCACGAGTTGCATTACAAGGTAAACCGGACGGTGTCGGAGCAGATGAGGAAGAAGACTTTCTTGCCTTACAGGCAGGGCTTATTGGGTTGCTTGGGGTTCAACCCTGGGGGTTATGAGATTTCTAAGGGGCTTGGTTCTTTGGCTAGGGGATGATCCAGGTTTCTCATTCTGTATCCATTTGTATTTTTTGTTCTTTTTTCCGAAAGTGAGAAAACCAAAAAACCACATAAAATTTCTAGTACATGTAATGGATCACAGCTATTTTTTTCTTTTCTTTTTTTTTTTTTAAATATTACAGCTAGAGATGTCTTCTATCGTCTAATTTATTCTTGATTCAGTCAAATATAAATTATTCATGTTAGAATTAAGGGATAGTGCAATTCATCTCGTAGGAGATTACCCTTGATATCAAACTCGGAGATATTAAAGAGAGTTGAAATCAAAAGGCTGATTTTATGATTCATTTTCAAAATAATGTTATGTCATTAACCAATTTGTGTTGGTTCTTTTTATTATTATTTATCATTTTGACATTGTTTTGGTGTAAAACGGCATCATTTTAAAAAATAACACCTATGTTGTACAGCAACTACAACAAAGGATCCAAATCAGTCCATCCATCCATACTTATGATTTTTGGTGGTTAGAAAGTTTTGCTGTTATGATTGTGAGTATTATTTGGTTATGCCCAAAAAGATTCCTTGTGTTTGGTATATGCTCTTGGTAATAATAAATGTTTAAAGGACTAGTGAAGGCTTCTTACTTTATGGCGTGTGGGGTCTTTTTTGTTGGTTGCTTGATATTTTTTTTTTTTGGGTAAGTGGTTGCTTGATATTTATAGGAAGTGGTTTTCTTCTTTTCTAATAGATTGTTTTCATAGAATTTGGTTGATTTTTAAATTTTAATCCAAAATAATGGTAAGATAAAATCATATATTAAACGTTTTTTGACCGTATTGATCAAGATCTAACTTAGAAATTTAATGTATTATTATTATTATTGAGTTAATAATAACACATTAAATTCTCAAAATAGTATTAATATACGAGTTGATTATGTCATAACATGAAAATATGGTTGATTAGGATTGGCAGGGGGGTGGTACAACAAAATAACCAATCCAAGTAGAAGATCAAACCGTACACGGAACTCTCTCATTTTTTTAATTATTTATTACTTTTTTTTTTATAATTTTTGGGTCAGAATTATTTATTATTTTAATGGCAACTATTTGTACATCACTAGTTTATCCAAAATATTTTATTCTGAAAACCACTTGTGTTAGCCGCTGTTAGTTTGTATTTTACATTAAGAAGAAGGAATATAAAAACGAAAAAGAATACATCGGACAAGTCTGCTGCTCAAGCCATGTTTAACCTCTACTTGAATAATGTCCATTTCCTGCCCCTTTTTCTTGACTAGTATCATTTGGACCGGATTACTATCGACTTTACGGAGTAGTAATCTACGCTATTGAAAAAATAAAATATCGGTTTCATATCATCATTACAAATATTGTGGTTGTCTTTCACAAAATTTGAGAGTTATTTATAAATATTTGCACGTCATTTTCAACTTTTGTAGGATATTTGAGATCGATCTCAAAATTTTTAGGATTTATTTCAAATAGTCTACAAAAATTGAAAATAGCTCACAAAAATTATAACTTGAATTATAAAAATTGTAATATAACCTTAAAAGTTATAAATATTTTTGTTGTAAAATGATTTTTAAAATTTATAATAAGACCCACAAAAACTATAAATTTTAAAAGTATGGTACAATTTATTTATTTTTTCCAATACCGTAGTAAAGCTATTTTGTCCACTCTAATAATAACAATGAATTAGATCAATAATGCCTAGTCCAACTAGTCTAACCTTACAAGCTCGCCCATCTTCCTAATTTTAAGATTTGTCAATGAATTAGGTCATTCACTCTCGCAAAAAATAGGTGATTGTGGATTCAAATCTTATTTTTCTTTTATGTCCCTTTAACCTTCACACAAAAAAAAAGATCGTAATAGCGTTCATAAGAACTTATTGACAGGATTTAGTGGATTTATAATCGACCATTGAACTTGATCGAAATTAATAAAATTTAAATATGAGAGAATGATGGACCACACCACACCCTTAAAGGACAAAAAAGTTAGGGCATGCTTGACTAGTAGCAACCTGCGGGTGAATTTTCTGATGTCATTTTGCACTTACTCATCATATAAGCTTAGGCATGTTCAGTGTTGATGATGCTCTAATGTTTCATATATATATATATATTGTCAGACAGTTGATTATAATCATAGGAAAGTAAAACCTTATGTTCGTAAGGGGAGCAGTTTGCCCAATTCACAGAAAGCGAATTAGATAACGCTACCACTATCACCCAATGGATTGTCATGTTAAGAGTTTTTGCCTTGTGTAAGAACTTAAGGTCGAGATGTTTAGTAAAAAATTTAATGTCCTCCACAAAGGCACTAATTTCCCAAGGGGAAACTTCTTCAGTTAAACAAAGTTTGATTAAGCAAAAATATTTTATAATCTTGACAATTTTTTAAAATTAGATCATGAGGAATTAATACTGTAGGTAATGACAATTTCGGCGTGGATGACTTACCTTTAATTAAGAAATTAATCGAAATGTATATAAATGGACCTCAACATCCTTGACAATTAGAAAAAAAAAAAAAAAATGCAAAAACATTCCTGTAGGTAAAAGGAGGAGCCACCAACCTCTGCATGCATTAGCTTTTTATGAAAATGTAAGTTGTGTCGGTTACAAAGGAGACCCACATGAAAATCCCCTAGATTTTGCTTGAGACTTCTCTTTGCTTTTATTTCTCTTTCTTTTTCCTCCTTTGGGAGCATATTGAACTGTTCAAGCAGTGCAGCATATGACCATTCTTGTGGATGCAATCATTTTAGAGTATTATTATCTTTATCAAAATTTTTATCAAAAAATATTTTTATCAAATGAGTTGACAATTTTATATCTAATTAAAAACATTTTGAACAATATTTAGTGGGTCCAAGAACAATACTGAAATGTCAACTCATTTGATAAAAATATTTTTTGATAAAATTTTTGGTATGTACAACATTTTCTATCATTTTTGGTATGTATAACATTTTCTATCATTTTAATTGTGATCCTTGTTTTTGTTTAATAGCTTGTATGAAAGATGTTTTTTGGAATGATCAAGGATCATGTGTTTTTAGGTATAACTCTCAATCATGTACTTAAGATTACTATCACCTTAATTAATTAATTAATTATTAACTATGGTTATAAAATAAATGAATTATTATTTTAATTTTCTTGTCGAATCATGTTAACTTTTTCATTTTATTTTGACATGTTGATAATTTTCATCAAAAACATAATGGTTGTTTGTACTCAAGATAATGGAATATTTGTTTGAAGGTGGCTGAAATAGGTTAATTTTATAAACTTTAGAATAAAATAAGTCAGATCCGTTTGGACTTGGGTATCTAGACAGGTTATGTAGCAATTTTTTGGATCCCAAAAGATTTATTTAGGTTGATTTAAGAAATTAATTTTATATACTTTTCTTCTGATTTTTTGGAGTTTTCTCGTGAATCTCATATAATTTTTTAGTTTTTATTATATTCATAAAATATTATTAGTAATATAAACAAATTTAAATTTCATATTTTGGGAACAAATACATAATCTATACATATATGTAATTATTTTTAATTTTTGACACAAAAAAAAGATAGAAAGTATTTCCAAATTGATTTTTCAACTTTTTGAAAAACACTCCAAACGATTTTAAAGTTTTTTTAAAGTATAACTTTTCACCTAAAAAAATAAGTTCCGACAAAACCCAATATCAAATTTTTAAGTAGTTAGAAGATAAAATAAAAAATTCAATAATTTAAACAATAATAGAAAATTGAGTTCATAGTTCATGGGATGAAGATGTAATTTATGGTAGAAATTTCAGCAACCATGAGGAATTTTTGGGTGACAATCTCTTGAGATAAGTTGTTAGAAATTTATCACTTATAAATATTTTATAAATATTTTAATTTTGATATGAATAATTTACTTTTAATAAAATTAAAAAAAAATTAATCAAAAAACACTTAAATTCATGACTTTCAAGTTTCAACTCATTGACGAAAAGATGAGGTATCAGAATACGAACCCTCGGCGTGGCAGTAGAGCGATGCAAGTCCCATCGCCGTCCATCACGTGCAACACCCAGGAGGCAGAGAGGGACACAGACATGTTTTTCAACTTCAATTTTCAACCTGTCTCTGCCGTTATCTTTGAATTTTCCAAGTCTAGTTAAAGTCAATGAGGTGTGGCCATCATTAAAAGAATTTCAAAGACCGACTTCACTTGCTTCTACCTGTAAGTCTTTTTATTCTCCCAACTGAGAACCAACTAATAAAGTACATAGACATGTCTACGATACTCACCAAAAAAAAAAAAAAATTTGACATCATAAAGACTTTTATCATATTTATAAATATTTTTATTATTAATGGGTACCAAAAAAAATTATTATAACAGTGATAGAAATATTTCTAAAAATGATAAATTACCAATAAAAATGATAATTTATTTTTGTACAAAAAAGGTAATAAAAATAATTATTATAATATTCACAACAATAATAGAAATATCTATAAATATGATAAAAATATTCATAAAAATGATAAATATTTAACAAAATTTATTAAAATAATAAAATTTGAAGGTCGAGTACCAACTTTTACTTGTCAAAGTCCATGCAAATTTGTGGTTGGCAAACCTCAAACGCAGCCCCTAAACCATCCATCCATTTCCAAGACAATGGTTTTGGTGTCAAAAAAAAAAAACATTTTTTTGATACCCCAGGCCTGTTTGGTTTGATTTTTGGGGGTTTGGATTAACTTGTCCAAAACCCAGGTTTAATTTAACGATGATATTCAATATTCAATGTTATCCATACTTATTGTTGGTGTGCATAGGGATATACTATTATGATAATATATTTGTATATAAATTATTATTTTACCCCTTAACAAATTTAATCCAAATTCATATAGGGATATTTGAGGAGTATAAAGGTCTTTTGAATATAAACCCACTAACCCACCCATGAAACCCCCCCTCCCCCATGGATTTCATGAAACCCA